TCCCTACACAATAGGAAAACACAAACTTCTTCCCCAATTCATAAAATATGACAAGTGTGATGCCACATTACATGGTCGGGACAACATTCTATACCATGCTGAAACCTGAAAGCACAAGGATAGTGTGAGACAAGTTGACTTTAATCCCAGGCTAAGTAACAGAGTGGGGTTACTGCACTGATTGTGTAGTTAAGGCTGTAGATAATGGGTGCGTCAACACATGCAAGCATGTGCGCTTGCAGCAGCTCAAATAGAAGCGGTGCAAATTTGAGCCGGTGCTTTTTGCCAGCCTTAGTTACGTGGCCCACTCCTTTGGGGTGGGGAAGTCCACCGCTGGCCAGGCTGTCTTGGATGTATGTGGGGCCATTCAGGACAACCTAGCCAACTGAATCATCTGGCTGGCCAACCCAAGGGAGGTGGTGGCAGGGTTTGGCGCCCTTGGGTTCCCCAACTGTGTAGGGGCACTTGATGGGACCCACATCCCCATCCTCCACCACCCTGGGGGAGGGTGGCAGTACATCAACCGCCATGGCAGCAACTCAGTGGTGCTTGAAGCGGTCGTAGACCATAGTGGCCACTTCACCCACATTTACACCAGCTTGACTGGGAGTGCCCATGACACCTGTGCTGCACCACTTGCCACTTCCAGGACTGATGCAGGCATGGACCTTTGCCCCAGGGATCCAAGACCAGACCATTGGGGATGTCAGCATACTACCAGTCATCGTGGCAGATGCAGCATACCTGCTTCTCCACTGGATGATGCGTCCCTTCCCAGGACCTCTGGATGCTTGGCAGCAGAGGTACAATGAGGCCCTCGCCCACTGCCGATGTACCATCGAGCAGGCGTTTGGCTGTCTGAAGGGATGCTGGCAGACCCTCGCCACCCACCTGCAGGCAGCACCACAACACATATCCTGCATTATCACCACAGCATGTGTCCTGCACAATGTGTGCAAATCCCAGGGAGCAGTGTATGAGCCCAGTGGATGGAGGAGACCTACTGTGTATCACAGCGCACCCAGCAGCAGCTGCAGCAGAGCTGACCAGCCAGGCACAGTGTTGCAGATGAGGCGCACCCCCTCCAGCAGCGACACTTAGGAGCCAGAGTGCGGGATGCCATCACCTCCCACCTGCTGGCCCACCCAACTGAGTAGGGCACCACACTTCTCCTTACCAGCACCAGGCCACCTGCTCAGGGGCTTCCATCCCTGTCCACAACCAGGACCTCAATAGCACACACAGTATGGCCATGTTGAAAACAAAGGCAATTTTATTCCCCTTCCCTTTCAACACAAAACTATCCAAACACCACCAGGGCATCAACCCCAACTGTGAAAGCAAATATAAAAACTGTACATGTGACCCAAGGGAACAGGAGAGGGGCTAGGGGCACAGGGAGGAGGGGCTCAGGGGTTAGCTGCCCTACAGCCCCAACCTGGGCCTCGGGACCTGGGCCTACCACCATGTGTGCGTGGGCCATGAGGACATGGCCCAGGGTGCAGTTGCTCTGGGGAGGAGGGTGGGCACTCCTCTTGCGGGGCAACCACTGCAGGCTGGTATGGGCCTGGGAGAGGGGGAGGCAGGACCCATGTTCCTTGATGCCCATAATGGGTCTGTGGTGCCTGCTTGTGGGGGCAACTGTGGCACCATCCAGCCAACCTGCCCCCAGCTGGGCCCTGCCTCTGGTGCCAGGGGCACAGGTTGGCCAGATGGCTGTGGTGGGGCTGGTGTAGGCTGGGGAACAGCAGCAGGAGCAGCTGGGGCAGGAATGGCAGCCATGATCTGGTCACTGACCCTGTGCTCATGTGCTATGGCCATGTCAGTGGAGGCCCGGAGTTGCTGCATCTCCTCCAGGCTCTCCCTGACCAGCTGCCACTCCCCCTCAATCAGGGCGACCAGGTGCTCCAGGGCCACCCTCCCAGCTTGCAACTACCCAATGGCCACAGCATGGTCATGGTGGAATTGATGGAGCTCCTGCAGGACTTGGGTCTGGAAGTCCTGCGCCTGCTGTTGGTGTAACCACTCCTCCCAGATCACCTCCTCCTGCCAGCCCTCTCGCTGGGTGCGCTGCTCCCACCACAGGTGGCGCATCTGGATAGCCCGTGGTGTCTGGGAGACTTGGTGGGCAGCTCCTGGATTCAGGGCAGTGGCCTCTCCTTTGGCAGATGGGCTGTCTAGAGAAAGAACAAGTGGATAGCCATCTTTAGATACAGCAACATGGCAGGAACAGCCTCGCGAGGGACCCCAAGGATTAGCCTCACTCTTGGGCACATGGCCACGCAGGCAGTCCATGCCCATGTGTCCATGTCCAGACCCATGTGAACCCATCCCCCTGACAAGGGCCATGGCCATCCTGTGATCTGGCCATCCCCTCCCACGATGCACCTGGAGGGATCCTCCTGGGGACAAGCATCACAGCCAGCTCAGGCTATGGTGCCCAACATCTCCCTACCAGGCAAGATTCATAGATTCATAGAAGTAGGGTTGGAGGGGACCTGAGCAGATCATCTAGTCCAACCCCTTGCCCTGGGCAGGAATGACTACAGGGCTCTTATGACCCCTACTAAGTTTAAGCTCAAATGACCCCAGCTAGGTAGTTAAAGCCTCCTTTTAAAGACCTGTAAGGTAGAAGCCAGCACCACTTACCTTGGAAACTGGTTCCAGATCCTGGCCACCCTGACTGTGAAGTAGTGCCTCCTGATGTCTAGCCCGAACCTACTCTCAATCAGCTTGTGGCCGTTATTCCTTGTTATTCGATCCCCTCTCAGCCTTCTCTTGTGAAGGCTGAACAGGTTCAAGTCCCTAAGCCTCTAGGAGGAGAGGCTACAGGACCTGAACCTGTTCAGCCTTCACACGAGAAGGCTTACAAGGGACTTGGTGGCCATCTACAAACTTACCAGGGGGGGACCAGTGGGGAATGGGAGAGACCCTGTTCACCCATGCACCTCCCAGAGTAACAAGGAATAACGGTCATACGTTGTTTGAGAGTAGGTTCAGGCTGAACATTAGAAGACACTATTTCAGTCAGGGCAGCTAGGATCTGGAACCAACTTCCAAGGGAAGTGGTGCTGGCTCCTACCTTGGGGGTCTTTAAGAGGAGGCTTGACAATTACCTAGCTGGGGTCATATGAGCCCAGTATTCTCTCCTGCCCAGGGCGGGGGGTTGGCATTGATGATCTACTTAGGTCCCTTCCGACCCTACATCTATGAATCTATGAATCTCCTCGTAGGGCCTGCCTTGCTGCCCCCTGATCATGCGAGTGGACCTCCTCTGGACCCTCTCAATGCTGGCCACATCCCTCCTGAAGTGCGGCACCCAGAACCGGACACAGTACTCCAACTGTGGCCTGACCAGTGTTGCATAGAGGGGGAGGATCACCTTTTACTCGTGATGCATCTGTGGATACATGAAGAGGTGCCGTTAGCCTTGCTGACCACGTCCTCACATTTGCGGCCCATGTTCATTTTGGAATCAATAATGATTCCAAGATCTCTTTCTGCCACTGTGCTTTCAAGGGAATTCTCCAGCCTATAGGTATGCTGCTGGTTCATCCTGCCCAAGTGCAGTACCCTGCACTTTTCAGTATTGAATCCCATCACATTTGCCCACCCCTGCAACCTGTCCAGGTCCAGTTGTATCTTGTCCTTCCCTTCTAGCATGCCCACCTTGCCCCAAATCTTGGCATCATCAGCGAATTTGAATAGGGTGCTTTTTACCCCCTCGTCCAAGTCGCTGATAAAGAAATTGAACTGTATTGGCCTGAGGACCAAGCCCTGGGGGACTCCACTTCCCACCTCTCTCCAGGTCGAATATGACCCATCCACCACCACTCTCTGGGTGCATTCTAAGAGAGCCAGGTCCTCAGGTAGCGGCCCCAGTGCTGTGGAGCTGAGGCCCCATGGACTTGTGGGGCGAGTCATACTCCTCCCCACTTCCCTCATCACCAGGGCCAGCTCCATCCAGCAGGGAGTGCTGGCAAGGTGTGGGGATTGTCTTGGCCCTGATGGGAAGTAGGTCTCAGCATGGCTGATTGAGGGGCGGGGGGGTGGTCAGGAGAGGAGGAAGGCAGGGAGGGAGGTGGAAAGGACATGCATGAGACACGTGCAGGCCTTGAGGAGGAGTGGGCTGGGGGATAAGTTCCCAATTCCCCATGGCATGTGTAGGACTTACCTGGTTTTGGCGACAGGTGGCTGGGTTGAGTTGCAGAGCTGGACCCAGCCTCCGGGGGGAGTGAGGGACGGTGGCAAGGTTGCCAGGGTGTGCTCTCCACCAATGTAGTTGACACCCTGGGCTGCCCCTCCCCACTGCTACTGCTGTTCAGCCGGAGGAAGGGGTCCTCTTGCTCAGGGCTCCCTTCAGGCGTGGTGGTGGCACTGGCTGTGCCTGGCAGTGTCTGCCCCTCGCTGCTGTTGCTCCTGACACTCGGCGATGGTAGGTCAGCAGATCTAGAGGATGGCCTTGCTTCTGGGGACTCTGACTGGGTCCCTGCACTGCCTGCTCCTCTTGCTGCCCTTTGCCCAGTGGCAAAGGAGTAGCGGGGGGCTTGGGGGGGGCATGGCAGCTCGGTGGCTGTGGGCCCCAGGATGAGAGCCAGTTCCTCATAGTGGGGCATGGTGGTGCATCCCGCTCCTGACCGCTGGTTGGCATCACAGACAGCAGTAAATTGCCGCCGCAATGCCTTGGCCTTAGTATGGCACTGCTACCATGTCTTCCAGTGACCCCGCTCTGCCATCTGGGCAACTATCGCCTTAATAGATGTGTTCGTTACAGTGACCTGCCATAAATTGCCAGAGTGTGTCCTCCTGGCCCCAAATAGCCAGGAGGCTGGGCACCTCCTCTGCCCTCCAGGTAGGTCTCCAGTGCCGGCCCTGGCCAGGCTCCTGTGCTGAGGTCACACCAGTTGCTTCACCAGCAGGGATCCTGAGGTTCCCTGCGTACAAATTTCAAAACCTCAGATTAACAAATCCCAATTGCATGCATTAGAAATCAAACCCCCAAAACCCGGGAATTTCCACAAGTAACCTGGAACCCAACTATATACACATATATAAAGAAAGAGGCTAAAAAGAAAGGCCTACAAAGGGTGGAGGATGGGAGTCACTGGGAGGCCCTGGAGGATGGGAGTCACCTCCAAGGAGGATTATTCTGCACTGGTCCGGTCCTGTAGGGAGCAGACCAGGAAAGCCAAGGCTGCAACTGAACTCCAGCTAGCTTTGAGCATCAAGGACAATAAAAAGTCCTTTTTCAGATATGTGGGGAGCCGGAGGAAAAGCAGGGGCAACATTGGACCCCTGCTGACCCAGATGGGGCAACTGACAACTGACGCCCAGGAAAAAGCCAACCTATTAAATAGGTACTTTGCATCAGTCTTTCATCAGTCCCATGGGACGCCCATGCCTGCTACAGGGCCGGGAAGTCCGGGTGAGGGTGATCCCCTGCCCTCCCTTAATGCTGACTTTCTGAAGGAACATCTTGAGAAATGGAGTGACAGCCTTCATGTGGTTCTAGAAGGATGAGAATAAGATAGATGGCTGTTTGTGTAGATGTACTAAACTGCAAATCCAGGGGTCCATAGAGTATGGAAAATATGCCAAAAGCTGGGTTGTCCCTTCCATCCCACAGACCCCATTGATTTCCTGCAGGGCAGGAATCCCCCCTTGCAGAGCAGCTTGCAAGATCAGGGTAAATCCATTTCTAGTAACAGACTTTCTCACGCACCCTACCCACTACATTCACGTTTCTCCACTTAGCCCACCTTGGCATCCTTCTGAACCCTGTTATTTTTCAAAACTATTTGGAGAATAGAGAGTGAGTTCTGAATGCCAGCAAGCAACTCTGCCTCTACTGAACCAAGCGGAGAAAGCAGTTGCACTTGAATTTCCCAATTGCCAATTCTCCTTTTTCCTTTCTAACACCAGAATGGAAAGAGCTTTTAGCAAAACTCTCTCTCTAACTTTAGCGGCTGCTCCAGTACCATATAAGGAGACGGGCCATTTCCAAGATCCAAAATATTGAGGGTTTCAGGAGGTTGAGAAAATGGCGAGTTCATATTTATACAGAAACAAGTGGTATGTCAATCCAAATCACAGAACCCGTGCAAAATGCACTCTCTGACAGGAACGCCGCTAAGCAGCGGCGTTCAGCGCCTCGTTTTTAGGCAATCGTCAGGTAAAGCTCCATCTAGAATAGATTGAACTAAAGCAAGATGACAGGAACTGGGAACCCCCAAATCCGAAAGAAATAGCTTTAGGGATGAAAAAGGAGAGTGTGTAAATAGCAAAAGTAGAGGTACCACATTTTGGAGCCAATTGCTTTAGAGAATAAGTGTGTTTTTAAAAACGGATTAAAATAGATTTCTGCAATGGAGGAGCAGGGAGTGCACAAACATTTTTATTTTTGCTCTCAAGCAAATCCCGGGACGTCATTCTCCCCCTGTACTCGGCCTTAGTGAGGCCGCAGCTGGAGTACTGTGTCCAGTTTTGGGCTCCACAATTCAAAAAGGATGTGGAGAAGCTTGAGAGAGTCCAGAGAAGAGCCACGCGCATGATCAGAGGTCAGGGAAGCAGATCCTACGATGACAGGCTTATAGCCCTGGGGCTCTTTAGCCTGGAAAAGCGCAGGCTCAGGGGTGATCTGATGGCCACCTATAAGTTTATCAGGGGTGACCACCAGTATCTGGGGGAACGTTTGTTCACCAGAGCGCCCCAAGGGATGACGAGGTCGAATGGTCACAAACTACTTCAAGATCGTTTCAGGCTGGACATAAGGAAGAACTTCTTTACTGTCCGAGCCCCCAAGGTCTGGAACAGCCTGCCACCGGAGGTGGTTCAAGCGCCTTCATTGAACACCTTCAAGATGAAACTGGATGCTTATCTTGCTGGGATCCTATGACCCCAGCTGACTTCCTGCCCTTTGGGCGGGGGGCTGGACTCGATGATCTTCCGACGTCCCTTCCAGCCCTGATGTCTATGAAATATAAAGGACAGCAAGAAAGAGAGAAAAAAAGTAGGACAGTGCTTTAATGACATCTGGACAATTTTATGTGGCGGGGGAGTGGGGGGGGGTGTGGAGAGAGAGCCACATGTGTACCCCTGCCCCTTCCCCCCAACCTCTGCAACTGCTGGCATCAGGTAGCCCCAGAATCCTCACAGGAATAGCTGCCTGCTGCTGCCAGAGTCCCCCAGTGGATCCAGTTGCCACCTGAGCATACCTGCTGCATGTGGTGCATGCCCGCAGGGCCTGGCTGTGCCACTGTAGGGTTGGGCCCCGCCCCACACTCCCACCCCTGCCACCCAGAGCTCCAAAGCCACCTGCAAAAGGCAGCCACGGGACCATCCATGCACTGGCTGGTGGCTCCTGGCAGTCAGCCAGTGGCACCCCCCTCCCCTGCTTGTGTTTCACATTTGCAAGTGGCGCATGCTGGTGGGGCCCGGCTGTGCCATGTGTACAGTCGGGGGGGTTCTTGGGTGGGTGTTGGGGGCTAATCTGCACCATGTGTGGGGTTGGGGGGCTTTTGGGTGGAGTTGCCACACTCCCGCCCCAACTCCAGCCGTGCACAGCCCCACAGCTGCCTGCAAAAGGTAACTGCGGGACCATCAGTGGTGAGTTGCGGGCTTACACGTGGCACAGGATGCCAACCCAACCAGATGCCAAATGCCCCACGTAGCATAGTCGTGGCAAGAACCAGATTGGTCCTGCCTGAGGTGATGGCATTGGGTTGGGTCGGCACCCTGCACCACGTGCAGTAGGGAAGCAAGTGGCAGTAACATTGCTAGGATCCACGGAAGCTAGGTGGGTGTGAGGGAGGAGGCCCACACTCCCATGCCACAGAGCTCCCCAGCTGCCTTGGGTGGGGGGAGGAGGCCAACACTCCCACCCCAGAGCTCTGCAGGTGCCTTGGGGGGGGCCACACTCCTGCCACACACAGTCTGGCCGTGGGACCCTGCATGCGTTGGCCAACAGATCCTGGTGCTTCTATCCTGCTGTATGTGGCTGGAGGTGGTGATCTGGCCCAATGCTACCTGCCCACCCCCGGCAAGAGCCGGCTGGGTCCTGCCAGAGGTGGGGCAGGTGGCATCGGGCCAGATCGTCACCTCCAGCCACGTGCAGCAGAGATAGAACCGGCGGTGGGTGCCACCACCAACACTGCAGGGACTCACCTTGTACCCCACCAACACCCACCCAAAAGCCCCCTAACCCTCACACTGTCTCCCACCCCCAGGCCACACAAGCCATCGGCCGGGTGTTTGCAAGTGGCTATAGCAGGCTGACACTGGCAGCCTGCAAAGAGCTCTTTGCAAACAGAGAAACATGGGTTTCACTTTTAGAAAGAAAATTCCCATTCCCACCCTCCCCTTCTTACCTTGATCTGCCATGGCTCTAGAACTTCTCTGCAGACCTTTCTAACTCAAACTAAACCCACAAACAGGCTCTCAGTCTTGCCCTGCTTTTATTCTTGGGCACGCTCAACGGGCATGCTCAGGTGCTGGGCCAAGGGGGAACCATAGAGACCTCTGGCTCAATACCAGAGTGTCTCTCTGGAGGACTCTCAAGACCATGCCTTGCCCTGCTGTTTCCCAGTGTGGTTTTTTTAGACCCCTGGTCTAATTTTCTCCCCGTGCTGCAAATTTGCAGCATGGGGAACATTTTTTCATTCCCACATGTGCCTCTTGCCCCGCCTCAAAGGGGTTTGAGACGGGGCAAGAGGCATGTCCGTGCTCGTCTAGCCAATGAGGCTGACAACAGTATGCCAGATGTAAATATAATATTACTGGTGCTCCTAGTAGCAGTGCTTAGAGTTAAGCTTGCCAATTGCTTTCTTTTATAGGCTCTTGCCTGAGGTCACTTTCTTAAATTTCAGCTTTTCAAGCTGATATTTTCCCTGCTGACCATCTGCCTTAGGGTATATCATCATCATTGTGTAATAATATTACATCATGTAATAATATTATTGTTACATTGTCTGATGGATAGAAAATGATATTTAGAGGTTTGCTTTTGGGAATCGACTTGTAGGCAAAGTATATATGCATTAGAACAGTGGTCCAGAGGAATGGCAAAGGTTAATTGGTTTCTAAAAACTTGTTTGTGACAAAGTTTCCTTAAAGGTCCACTGTGTGTGGAACCAGCAAACGTCCTGTCTGAGGCCAACAGATAAGTGGGCATAAACAGGCTGGGAAATTGAAGATATGTACCGCAGTGTTCCCTGAAAACCCCAAAATAGAGATAAGGGACTCTACTGCAGTGGCCAGATCACAGTGACTAGCTGTAGAACCCTTGGGAGTTCTGGTTTTGGTGGACAGACCAAATTAAGACACCAGTAAATGACCAAATTAAGATGTGTGTATGTCAGGGGTGGGCAAAATGTGGTCACATATATTAATTAATGGAAAGCAGAACTTCATGCTAGATTATGGAATATCTATGAAGTGGCTAAGGAAAATGGTGCATCATGTGGAGTATTGCCTCCAGGGCCTCAAAGAGTTCAACCATGCCAAAGATCAAGAAAGTTGGATTGACCATTTGTTTTTATTGTCAACCTTTGTTTGTTTGCTTGCTTGCTTGCTTGCTTGTCTTGGCTTGCACTAGATATATATTTTAAGCTTCTTATAG